CCCTTATGAAACATGGTTATGGTCAGACAACTAACAAGCAAATCTGTGGTGCTGAAAATCAATTAAAATCAGGAGTCTTGTCTGATTTATTATTAATTAATAATAGATAATCATAATTGTGCTTGTCACTCCCTTTGTTAGTTAGCATGACCATTACATGCAGCCAATACCTCATCAATAATGAGTTTTGATCATGTGGAAAGACATCAGAAACACTACTTGGCGGAACGGCACATCAGAAACACTACTTGGCGGAACGGCACATCAGAAACACTACTTACGGAACGGCACATCAGAAACACTATTACGGAACGGCACATCAGAAACACTACGGGCGGAACGGCACATCAGAAACACTACTTGGCGGAACGGCACATCAGAAACACTACTTGGCGGAACGGCACATCAGAAACACTACTTGGCGGAACGGCACATCAGAAACACTACTTGGCGGAACGGCACATCAGAAACACTACTTGGCGGAACGGCACATCAGAAACACTACTTACGGAACGGCACATCAGAAACACTACTTGGCGGAACGGCACATCAGAAACACTACTTGGCGGAACGGCACATCAGAAACACTACTTGGCGGAACGGCACATCAGAAACACTACTTGGCGGAACGGCACATCAGAAACACTACTTGGTTTCAGTGGGGGAAAAATGTGTTTAACGTCGCCTGCCAATACCTCATAAATAATGGACCATTCTATTTTAATTGCATGAGAAGACAAAATACAGAAAATGAAAGAAAGGGAAGATAGAAGTATTTAACATCTAATTCAGTGAAACGGAAAAAATTTCATTTCTACCACCTTACTTTTTTTTTTTAACAACCAGCATTGATATTTATGATTGTTATTGCAATATTTTATTAAACTTAAGCTCAAATATTTAACAATGCAACAATGGAATTTCTAGGGATTTGTCATAGAACTCGCCATGAGCTTATTCAATCATAAATGAAGAATTAAAAGATTTATCAGAAAATTTCAAATAAGAAAACTGAAATTTTCATGGGTTATAACTAGTTATTATTAATTATCAATAACAATTATTGACTAATAATTATTAGGAAGTGTGGGTGGTGTAATGGAGTGCACCTTGGAACAAGAAATCAGCAAAACAAGTTCAAATTCCAGTACAGTTTTGTTACACTTACTTTCATGCAAATACCCTTAGAAAAGGTATGAATCCATCTCTTCTATCTCCAGCTACAAGTTAAATATTAGAACTGACCGAATTCTTCATCCTTGTTTGGCAACTAATCTAGAACAACAACAACTCAATTTGAAACCATATGTAGCCCTGGGAAGCATATGCTATACCACTAACGAAAGAATCATGGCGTTCACAAAGACCATGATCTCAACTGTGGTCAATCTGAAGAATGAATAGATGGAATAATTATTTGTTATTATCAATATTTTCTCAGATGAGATCTTAATATCTGGTAATTAATAATGGTAATTAATTAATATGGATAGAAGGCGACAACCAGCAGTTTTAGGTATTATGCAATTTTCTTTGTGTTCATCACTCTGGTGAAATGGTTTTCTATAGCTTAAATCTTTGCAGGTTATTTAAGGCCAGAAAATATTTTTAGATAGTAAGAATTTATTTTTTGGTGATAAAAGTCTATTTAACCTATAGCTAGGGGTGGAAGAGTTGGATCTATACCTTTCCCATGGGTATTTGTGCATAATTGGAACTGCTCTCTGATCAACAATTCCAGTGTGTGGTGTAATGGAGAATGGTTTGGAATATCCATATATGGCTAGTTGTTTGCAAATATCAAGTGATGTAAGCTTACAACACTTGATATTTGCAAGCAACTAGCCATCTAAGTATTGACTAAGCTCAACATTGCTTAACTTCGGTGATCACATGGGAACTGGTATTTTCAACATTCATCACTTTTTGGATTGTGCTTGCAGTTCCTAAGAGGCTTGCTTTCATTGACCAATTATTCTATCAGCTACTGTACCAAGCACATCAATGCCAATTTGGCATGATTGTGATGTTCTTAAACTTCAATGGTTACTTTTTTTTTTTTTTTTTTTTTATTACCCTTCCTTGTATCAAAAGGACTCAATTTATCAATGATTAATTCTTCTTTTCCTAAAATGTCTGATGCAAACAAATTATCAAATGTCTGATGCAAACAAATTATCAAATAATGGCTAGTCCCTACCTAGATTGACAGTGGATTAACGTCTTATTTTTTTTGTTTTTTTAGCTTTATAAAAGAAAAATGTGCCCTATAGAACAGAATGCCAACAATAAAAAGAGTCATCTCCTTCATATAAGCATTAGTATAAACTGAACACAAACAGCATTAACCAAAATTTAAAATCACCTATGATCACCATAACACTATCTCAAATCTCCAAATTGTAAGTAATAAATAAAATAACTTAAATGCTTGCTTTCTTTCCAGGCAACTAAATGTCTCCAGGCTTGTTTTCCTTCCAGGTAACTAATGTGCCCAAGTTCATACCAATTTTCACCTTAAAAAATCAACTATCACAATGTAGTATGTTTAAAACAACAGTGATAAAGAACTAAAGCAAAAGTGCTGGGAAGTTTAAAGAAGTTGGCCAAGTCGTACTTCTAGACACAGTGGACACAAGAAATTAAAAATTTAAACATTAGCATACCTGCATTTTCAGCATTCCTTTGCATGCATAATTATAACAAAGATTTCTGTTGATAATTTTTGCCCCCTTCCCCTTACATATACATGTAATTTCACTGATAAGAACATTATTTTAGTCTGATGAAGTCTTTTTTGAAGGACGAAACAGTACATAAAACATTTTTTTCATTTCATCATTCAATTACCCAATCAGCCTATTAGCCCTCTGCTTCTTTTTGGGAAAAACAGGCCCTAATCAATGCTTAATTGGTTTGTCATAATTCATCACAGGGCCTTTTTTCAGACAAGCAATATGGCTTTCATTTCTCCAGATCAATTGCTGATGTACTGACGATAATTCTGGAAAGAGTCTATCATGCTCTGGATAAAAACAGTGAAGCACATGTTGTAGCATTGGACATCTCAAAAGCCTTTGACTGTCTGGCATTCAGGTCTTCTCCACAAGCTGAAAAACTACAGTGTCTCTGGGCACATTTTTAGGCCAACCCAGTCATTCCTATCAAATCGTGAAATGAAAGTTGTCCTGAACAACCACTTGTCTACATCCTTTTGTACCAACGCAAGTACCCCACAAAGCTCCATCTTTGGTCTTATGCTATTTTTATTCTTCATTAACGAACTTCCCAATGACATCACCTCTCAATTAGGTATCTACATTGACGACACAATCATTTACTCCTACCTCAATAGTAAGGTTGATCAGTCAGACAAGGTCAAAATGGCAGACGATGTACAAAATGACCTCATTACTGGTGAAAAAGATGGCTTGTTAATTTTAAGGCCTCCAAAACTAAACTTCTCTCCATTAATCATCTGAGAGACCCCTCTCTACCTTCCATTAGCATGGCTGATGCTATCCTCCAAGAAAGTGACTTATTGTACCTTTTCGGCCTAACGTTCTCAGCTGACACAAAGTGGAAAGACTACACTGAATCCATCACTAGATCAGCTTGCTAAGAAAGTCGGTTCACTGTGTCAAGTGAGACAATTTTTTCTCTCCAGAATCTATCTTACATACCTATCAGTCTACCATTCGTCCATGCTTAGAATATTGCTGCCATATATGATTCAGTGCCCCTGCTATTTTCTTGGAGCTCCTTGATAAGATCCAAAGAAGAATCAGCAATATTACTGGTCCTGATCTAGCAGCTCAGCTTCAGTCACTTGCTCACCGCCATAAGGTTGCCTCTCTCTGCCTTTTTTTTTTATAAATACTTTCATAGTAATTGTTCAGATGAGCTCTTTACTATGGTATCTAGACTGTATGAATTTAAGCGTAATACTAGACAGGCAGCATGATCTCATCAATTTACAGTTGAGTTAGCTAAATGTAGCCAGAGCATCTATGCTAACAGTTTCTTATCTCGCACTTCTCACTTGTGGAACTCCCTCCTGGCTCCATGCTTTCCAGCCAACATTAATCTGCAAAAGTTTAAATGCAATGTCAATCACCATCTACTGTTGTCCTGATTGCTCTTCTCTTTCTCCACGTTACTAATGTTTTTGTTCCTAATTCCTCCACACTCTGTAACCTCTTGCATGCTAGTGGCTGTAGTGCCTTGCTTGAGGTGATACCAATTATAATATATATATATATATATATATATATATATATATATATATATATATATATATGGGGGGTCATATCACAAAGTATTTGGACTTGTTACAGTAATGGAGCTAAAGTACACAAAATGAAGACGCTTAGCACAGACTGAACTTTGTCATGCATACACATTAAGTTATAATGTTCTTGCTCACTTCCATTGTTTATAGAAGTGCTTTGAAGGAAAGTGTGTAGAATGTGGTCATCACACCACATCAGAGAGGTTCCAGTGATCATGGCTTGTGCAGCAGTTTTGGCCCAAACACAACATTCCCCAAATTCAACAATGACTATATTCACCAGATCTCACCCCTTGCCACTTTTTCCTCTTCAAAATGAAATCCAACTTGAAAGGAACAAGATTCCAAGTCATCAAGGAAATTCAAGAGAATGTGAGGCAGCTAGTCACTATCCACCCAACAAAAAAGTTCAAAGAATGCTTCCATCAACGGAAATGATGCTGGATAAAGTGTGTGGCTTCAGAAGAGAACTACTTCGAAGGAAGTTAAATGCGGAATTGATATATGTTGTAGTTTTTTTTTTATAGCACCAGTCCTGATACTTTTTGATTAGACATCATATAGTTTATATCATATTTCTTTGAGTTATTTATAAAACTGATAATTCAAGTGCAAACGGAATTATCAATGAAAAAAAAAAATAAAAAAATAAAAAATCATTTAATGTGAGCAACAAGAAGGTCTGTTTACAATGAAAAGACATACATACCTCTTTGCTTCAGTTCAGTTTCAACATTCACAAAGACATCAAAAAAGACATAATATATATGTGAATAATTCTCATCAAAGAATGCTTTCTGTTCCTGAATATCATAGGTTTCTGAAAGATAAAAAAAAAAAAAAAAAGTTTGGTTTATAAATACATTAACTGAAGAATAAGGGATCATTAGGTGCCCAATACATGTAGCCTTGTGCCAAAACAAAGCCAAGCTTACTAAATAACAACAAAACACTAAGGGATGGAAATATTTGGGCAATATTTTATTTTTCTTTAAATGTATGCCCCCATGCATGTACACACACACAAAATTTAATTTAAGTAATGAGTTATGTTATGACACAGAATTTCACCCTAACAACTTGTGGCAAAAACACATTAGTACAGATGCAAAGGCCTTGGATCATATGCGGACATGTTTGTCAACACCAGTTATGTCCAGGTTCCCCCACCACCACCACCACCACCACCATTAGCAGTGGGACAGTTTGGCATGTCTAAATACGGGCCTCTCTGCAACTCATCAAGATCTAAGTTGTTGTAAGATGGCTCGTGCCAATAAAAACAGAGGGGATGGAACCAGCCGTCAGCAGTTGACAAGACACAGTGTCTTGTGAAGTTGGTCCCTTAGGCATTTTTGTTCCTTAAGTTGCTGTGGTTTCTGAGGTAGTATTATTTGTTACCTCTTGTCTCTTTCCCAATCTGCCTATTACCCCCCCACCACCACCACCGTAGTTGCTGAGAGAGCAATCAGTCAGTTGCCCCCCCACCCACCAATATCAACACACTCTTTGCTTACAACATGACCTTTCAACCTTGATGGTTGGAATGATAGACTCATAAATGTCCAAGCTAATTTGACCCAGTAAGTGTTATAGTGGATACTAGGATCTACAATGTAGTAAGAGATTTATAGCAAGTTCTTAGGTACTTACTAACCAAATAGTTAAGTAATAATTGCCTATCCACTCATCCTTGCTTAAAAAAAATAATTTTAAAATTCCGCTCTTATTCCAACCCTCACCACCCCACTTATATTTGAGTAAATGCCCTAGAACAAAAATTTTAATTCTTAAAAAAAAAAAAAAAAAATAATATCTTGAATTACAAAAGTGACTCAATGCAGATTCTAAAACATCACTCAAATAAGAAATCAAGAGATTTTTTATATGTAAGAAAAAAAAGAAATGCTGGTGAATATAATTCAGAGAATGAGGAGCCAGTATCTTATCTTTATCTTTCCAATGAAATTCCAAGATTTTGCAAGAACCCAAACCAGCTGAGCTATACAATGACTGGAACGAAGATTCCTCTTGCAAGAATTTGTAACAATGAAGAAATAAACAAAGAAGTGGTATTTCTTGACAGAATGCAGCAAGTGCTGGACAAGCGTTAAAGTTCAACATCACTTATGCCTAATCAGAATCAGTTCACAGCTACATACAACAATGCATGCACAACAACCGTGAAGAAAAGAATAACAAATAAAAGGACACAATAAACAGGTTTTGTAAGATTTACAGGAAAAATTTTAATATAGGAGTTTATCTCTAAATGATTTCTTTACATACCATTCTTGCATTCAAATAAACTAAGTTCTAGATTAATTATATCCCCTCCTCAGATTATTCCAACCCGCTTTTTAGATTCTGAAAAAAACAAAAGGCGAGTAGATACAGGTGTGGAGGTTGTAGCAATTAATATATACCTCCCCGCAGAGAGAGGGGGGAAACTAAAAAAGGTGAAAATGTTGTGGACTTAAAATATTCTAAATAACCAGCAACACATGAACATCATGAAGTCAATGGCAGAATCCTGTTCTAAATCATCTCAAAACAGATTTGGGCACTTCATTGTGGTGTAATGGTTAGCAAGCTTGTCTCACTGAATCATTTACAACAGAGTAAGAGTTCAATCCTCACTAGGTGCCCTTTACCTTATGGACTGGTACCATAGATAAGCTAAACTTAAAAAAAAATCACCACCTGTAAACAGATCTTTTGAGTGGAGTATTCAACAGTGAGAAATATTATAAAACTAAATTTTGGATTTAAACAGTGATGAGGAGAGAGAAAATTGCAAAAAGAAAATAAAAAATATTTATCTCGACCCTTTATCATCAAGAGTTACAATTTTTTTTTTTTGGAACTGTTAATAAATAGATGATATTCATTCCAGTAAATGGCCAGATAATTCATCTGACTATGAATTTACACAAATATAAGAAACAAAACATAGCCAACATAAGACATCTATAAGTGTAAATCAAAATGAAACAATCAAAACAGTATCTAGCACACCTTTCAACTGTGTAAAAGAAAGGTATTTATCTAGTTAGTACATTTTCTAGCTGCAAAAGCGATGTAAGCACACATATTGGTAAAGCCCAGGGTGCTATCAATAATTCTTCAGTGTGGAAATCTAACCTTCCAGACATGAAAAAGGAACTTCTTTTCAACTGTTCTATTGTATGGCTGCTCAGCATGGACCCTTATCTCAAAACTGGAAAGAAGATTGGATGGAGCCTACACTAGCATTCTAAGAGTGGCTGTCAATGTCACTTGTAGAGGTCGTCTGACCAATGAGAGATTGTATGAGAACCTTCATCCAGTATCAAACATCAAAGAGTATAGAGTCAGATTCACAGTTCTTTGCTAGGGAGCTAAAGACAAAATTGTTTTGTTGGAGTCTATACAAGGAAAAGCTAACAGAGGACAAGCTAAGACCTATATATGACATATTTGTGACAACAAACTGCAATACCTCTGACCGGCTGAATATGATGAACAATAGAATTGGATGGTGACGGAGACTCAAGAAAATCCAAGCAAGCAATATGACCAGATTATATCTATATTTGGAGCTTTCATTTTCTAGCTAATTTTAGATTTATGACCATTAAAGAGGAAAAAAAAAAAAAAAAAATATTTTAAAATAATGAAGCAGATGAACTTATGAAGTTATAGTTGTCAACTTTTTAGACAAGTGGTGAATTTAATGGTATTCTAAATGAGACATTAGAAATTTAATAGTCAACACAACTGCCCAATTGGGATGAAAAAAATGAAAAGTGTTTGAATTTGGTCACATCACATTGTCAACATTGATATTCAAGTCTATTAAGAGTTTTAACAGAGGACAAAAATGTGACACTGAAATCCAAAGATGTATTGGGATAGCAAAAGATGCCTTTCCAAATCTTTATAGACAAAGAAAAGAGTGAAATTTTTTTTTTTTTTTAATAAGCAAGGATGGGTGTCTGGGCAATTATTACAGTACAGTATATGACAGTGAATGCTGGACAATCACCTCACAGACGAAGAGACTTGAAGGAAAAGAAATATGGTTCTACAAAAGGATGCAGAGAATACTATGAACATGTGAGCAATGACTGTTTTTCTTGAAAATGGAAACAAAAAGGACACTTATATATAAAATCAGAAAGAAACAGTTGAAATTCCTATGGCACATAATGAGGAAAGAGGGTTTGGAAAATTTGAAACTCACAGGAATATAGGGACAGACTAAATCAGCATATAACCTACCTAACGAGCTTGTATAAATGGTTGGTAGAACAGAGATTAGGAGTTATAATGAAAAGACAAATTTTACAAAGGGCTACAAAAGACAGGAAATTGTGGAGAGCCATGATCACAGACATCCTGAAGGGACACAGCACATAAAAGAAAAAAAATGATAGCAGGGTTAAGATATTTATGAAACACTAAAGCTCTTTATAAGAGAATTGGGAAGAGTATTATCGTGAATAGAAGACGAGACTAAGTGAGAAGATCTCAAAATAGTTTTATTTTCAAACATTATGAAAGATCTTGAAATACTCAATGTCAAAATGATTCTTTTTGTAAGCAAATTGTATATTCTAATTTGCATCATTTATATGCCAAGTACTATTAATTTTACAGTTAATAATGATACATAAGAATAAATTAGATATGTCAAGAGAAGTTAAAAAAATATTTTTACAAGGTAAAAATGGTTATATTGTAATTTTGATAACCAATGATTGATGATAAAAAAAAAAAAAGTTGGTAGCATTTAATAATATCATATTTATTAAGAAAAGCTTACAAAACAAGTTATAGAGTATTTGATGTGCTTTCACCATGAAAACATTTATGTGAGTATGCTAAACATGACAACAAATTGTGGATATCAACAGGATTTGAAAAACTGCTGATAGCTAGAAGTCATTTCTGTTTCTCAGAAAATAAATTCTAAAGATAGAAACAGACTGTAAACAGCTAAAAAATGGTTTTATAAAGTAAAAAAGCATTTAAGTATTAAAAAAAAAAAAAATTGAAAATCAATTTTCAACTGTAAACAATTTTAAACTACTATAATTAACCATTTATGAATTTTTATTGGTTAATCTAAAATATTTTTATATTATTTATATTTTCTCATAAGTTCTTGACTTTAATTTAAAAGAACAAAGAATCATGTGCTTTGGTAATATCAGTTTACTGTGTGTACACGTACAGACACATATCAGTGGGGGGAAACAAATATTTGTACACATACAAATTTTTAATTTATTGTATTTATTTCCAACTAATGAATAAACATACTTTTCATATAATTAACTGTACACAGATGCATAATAACTAAATATGCATAGAAGACAAAAAAAATTGATTTAATAGAAATAAATCCCATTTGTCCATTTTAATAGGTGAAAAAGTATAGGATATAGAAATCCAGACAGTTTTTTTTTTTAAGTTTCATTAAAATAGATTTGATTGAATATATATATAAGTAAATTTGATTACTTGAAAGGAGTAGAAAACAAGGAATAATAATGTTTCTGTAAGCCAAATCCAAGTGTTTACATAGTGGCAGGTTGCAAAGTTACTGAAACAATGAGATCAATTCGATTTAATATCACAGTTGAGCACAAATGTTTTATATTGCTCAGTTTTTAAAGCAAATAGAAAGTTGAGGTTTATAGCTAATCATCTTAAAAGTTAGATGAAATCCTTGCAAATATTTCATGGAAATTAGATATGAATAAACCGCAACAGAAGAGATAATTTCCAAACCTGTTTACTTATAAACAGAAATATGAGGAAGCAAACAGAATG